AATACATTATCCCTCTTAGTAGTTTTTTTGTCTGTTCTACTTAATATGACTGATTTAATTCTGTAATTAATACACAGTTATTCTTAAGTGTTGAAATTTAACTGAAATGTGATCCCTGTTAAACATAAGAGTAGGAATAAGAGAGGGAAGAGATATATAATTTGGGACATGCTCAAGCTGACTTGCCCCAAATGGTAGAGTTAGAAACATACCAGGGGACTCCAATTTAATCCCATCAAGGTGGCATGTACCAATGCCATCTCACTAGTCCAAGTGATCAATTTCAGTTCGCAATTGATCATAATGAAAGGACTAAGAGTCAAAGGGAGCACATAAGCAAGTCTAGTACCTGCTAACACTAACCGATAGAATAAATAAAGGGGAGAGTGATCCAACATGGGAAGTGAGATACTCAGCAGACTCATAGAATGGCAGATGCCCTAAATAGCACTCTGGCCTCAGAATCAGCCCTAAAGGCATTCAGATCTGGCTGAAAAGCCCATGAGAGTATTTCAGGCATGGAAAGCCAAGACACTCTGGCAAAAGATCTCTGTGAGTGAGATCTCAGTGAAAAGAACAGGTCTTCAAAGAAGGAGGTACCTTTCTCTGAAGGGAGGAGAGAACCTCCACTTTGACTATGACCTTGTCTAAACAAGATAAGAGTCGGAGAACTCAAGGGGCTTCCATAGCCTTGGAAACTCATGACTGGAGCATAGGGAGATTACTGATGCCATAGACAGGAGTGTCAATTGGTAAAGTCAACAACAGGAGTCACTGTGCACTTACTCCTCATGTAGGATCTCTGTCATTAATGTGCTGTGCATTGAGATTTAATGCTATAACGAGTACTCAAATAATATATTTCACTTTGTGTTTCTATGGGGGTGCAAACTGTTGAAATCTTTACTTAATGCATACTAAACTGATCCTCTGTAAAAAAAAAAAAAAAAAAAAGAAAAGAATAGAAACTATCAACTCCCAACTTGACTCTCACTGGGATTAAACATGACAATAGGTCTGATCTGATTTCATCATCATTAAAAAAAATCATCTATTATTTTTCACTTTATGTTTCTGTGTGGGAGCAAACTGTTGAAATCCTTACTTAATGTATACTAAGCTGATCTTCTGTATATTAAGATAATCGAAAATGAATCTTGATGTGAATGGAAGGGGAGAGGGAGTGGGAAAGGGGAGGGTTGTGGGTGGGAGGGACGGTATGGGGGGGAAGCCATAGTAATCCATTATTCGTACTTTGGAAACGTATATTCATTAAATAAAAGTTAAAAAAAAAAAAAAAAAAGGGAAGAACAAAGTCATTGCATCTCGAAGTGTTAATTTCACTTCCATACATTACCTTTTAGATGTTCTATTAGTTACCACAGATCAGGGAGTACATATAGTATTTGTCCTTTTGGGACTGACCTATTTCACTAAGTATGATGTTGCCTAGTTTCATTTTGTTACAAATGACAGGATTTCAAATTTTATTTCTACCACTGTGTAGTATTCCGTGGTATACGTATCCCATAATTTCTTTATCCAGTCTTCAGTTACTGATTCCATGTCTTAGCTATGGTGAATTGAGCTGCAATAAACATGGGGGTACAGATAACTTTCATGTGCTGATTTCATTTCCCTTGGGCAAATTCCCAGGAATGCGATGGCTGGGTCATATGGTAGGTCTGTATTCAGATTTCTGAGGTATCTCCATACTGTCTTCCACAGTGGCTCTACCAGTTTGCATTCCCACCAACAATGGATTAGGGTACCTCCCCCCCCCCATCCTTGCCAGCATTTGTTGCTTGTTGATTTCCTGTATGAGAGCCATTCTAATGGGGGTGGGGGTTGAGGAGTGAGGTAAAACTTCACTGTGGTTTTGATTTTCATTTCCCTGATTGCTAGTGATCCTGAGCATTTTTTCACGTGTCTGTTGGCCATTTGGATTTCCTCAGATTCATCTTTTGCCACATCAAGTGAAAAGTTTCGCATCATAGCTTGTTGTCCTTAGACTCAAGATTCCTTTCACTGAAATAATCTGCTTGGATACGAATGAAGTAGCCAGGGCCAGCAGCCCACTGGATTGTAGCCACCCCTGGATTTCATATGACATTTTTAATACCATAAACTGTTGTACCATAAAAATATAACTTTATTATTAAAAATTTGAAAAGTGAAGAATGGGTGGAGGGAAACACTGGGATTCGTCATCCTATTTGATATTTTGGCAAATTTCTTCTTAGCTTCTTCCCTATCATGTTAACGCAACTTTATAAACTCAACATTCACTTTTTTTTTTTTAAGTCTTGGATTGGTGAACTCTTTTTTTTTTTTTAAGATTTATTTATTTATTTGAAAGGTAGAGTTGCAGAGAGAGAGAGAGAAAGAGAGAGAGGGGTCTTCCATCCACTGGTTCACTTCCAGATGGCCGAGCTGCGCCGATCCGAAGCCAGGACCTAGGGGCTTCTTCTTGGTCTCTCAAGTGGGTGCAGGAGCCCAAGGACTTGGGCCATCTTCCACTGCTTTCCCAGGTCATAGCAAAGAGCTGGATCAGAAGTGGAGCACCTGGGACTCGAACTGGTACCCATATGAGATGCTGGCACTGCAGGTGGAGGCTTTACCTGATAAGCCACAGCACCAGCCCTTACAATATACTCTTTCCATGCTATACACACAGTAGTGGAAGCTTTTTTATTATTATTATTATTACTAAGAAAATATTCAAACATAGAAGTAGGAGAAGGGTGGGCATTGAGTACAGCGGGTAAGCCACTGCTTGCAAGGCTGGCACTGGTTTGAAACTTGGCTGCTCTGCTTCCAGTCTAGCTCACTGCTGATGTGTCTGGGAAGGCAGCACGAGATGGCTCAAGTACCTGGCCCCTGCTGCCCACGTGGGAGACCTGGTTAGAGTTCCAGGATCCTGGTTTTGACATGGCCCAGCCCCAGCTTTATGGCCACTTGGGGAGTGAACCAGCAGATGGAAGACCTGTCAATCTTTCGTCCTCTCTGTCCCTCTCTGTTTCAAATAAATAAACAAATAACTAAAAAAAAAAATATATGCTAAACTACTGGGTGTTCATCTCAGCTTCAGTGAGTATCCAATCAGCTCATGGCCATCTTTATTTATCCTTGGGGTATTTTGAAGCTGATTCCAGACATATATCATTTGTAAATAAACAAATATATATCTGTAAAATATAAGGAAATTTAAACCATATTACCATTATGCCATTAAAAAAGCTTAAAAGGATAGGTGATTTAAAACTATAATAAGCAATATTAGGGGAATTTGTCTCTCCCCTCTGGGAAGCAGCATGGTGGTGTGGTACAAAGAATGTGGACTTTGGAGTCAGATTCAGGTTTATTTCTTGATTCTGCCATAAAATACAACAGTGATAATGTGAATAATTATATTTATTAAGCATACTATTTGCCAGACACTAGACATTTTTTACTCTTTATTTCTCATTTACTTTCATCTACTGGAAAGACAGAGTGATAGAAAGAGAGAAATCTTCCATGTGCTGGTTGACTCCCCAAAGCCTGCAATAGTGAGGGATGGGACCAGACCAAAGCCAGAAGCCCTGAACTCCATAGGGGCCTCCTTCCTTATGGCTGAGGCTCAAACACGTGAGCCACCATCAGCTGCTTTCTAGGCTGCATTAGTAGGAAGCTGGTTTGGAAGTGGAGCAGCCAGGACTCAATCCAACACTCTAATGTGGGATCCTGGTGTTGTAAGTGGAGGCTTAACCTGCTGTACCATAATGCCCACCCCAGGATGGTAGCCTTCTACGTCATATTGTTTATTTCTTATATTAATCCTCTGAAATGTTTGTAATATTTGTTATTCTGATGGAGAAACTGAAGCTAAGAGTGGATACATACGTTTTTAAAAAATTTATTTATTTATTTGAAAGTCGGAGTTACAGTGAGGGCAGGAGAGACAGCGAAAGACAGAGATCTTGCACCTGCTGGTACATTTCCCAGATGACTGCAATGACTGGGGCTGGGCCAGGCTGAAGCCAGGAGTCAGGAGCTTCATCTGGGTCTCCCATTTGGGTAGCAGGGGCCCAAACACTTGGGCCATCTTTCACTGCTTTCCCCAGGCTATTATCAGATAACTGGATTGGAAGTGGAGCTGCCAGGACATGAACTGGTGCTTATGTGGGATGCTAGTGTCACAAGCTGTGGTTTTACCCATTATGCCATGATGCTGGCTCCTAAGAGTGGTAAAATATAAAACCTATGGCAGAGCTATGTCTGGCTCTTTTTTTTATTATTATTATTTGTTTATTTGAAAGGGAGAGATATCTATCTATCTATCTTCCATCTGCTGGTTCTCTCCATAAATGGCCACAATGGCTGGGACTGGGCCAGGCCGAAGCCAGGAGCCAGGAGCTTCTTCTGGGTCTCCCATGTGGGTGCCGAGGCCCAAGGATTTTGGCCATCTGCTTTCCCAGGCACACTACCAGGGAGCTGGATTGGAAGTGGAGCAGCTAGAACTTGAACTAGTGTTCAAAGTTGGAGTGCCAGCATCACAGGTGGTAGCTTTACCTGCTATACCAAAATACTGCCCGGCCCCCTTTTTCTATTAAATTGTGGTACTCCCTTTCTCTAAAAGTCATTTTCCTAGGTTTTCAGGAATCCTCCCCCTAGTGTGTGGGTTTAAGTTCATCCCTGCTATTAGGTGTCATTGTTAGGGGCACTTAAGGAGACGTTTGAAGAACACTGCTCTAAGGCCATAGCTTCATCATTTCCTCTCATCATCATGTGCTCTCCCCTGGTCACTACACAGACTCTGCACTTAGAGCCCAAGTTTCATTTATGGCATTAATCATAATAAATGATAGAGAACGCTTCAAAAGTTGCTCAGGTATTTCATATTTTTCATTCATCACTGATCTCGTTTCTTCCCAAAGTTTTTAAGGTTGGGCCTTAAGACAGGGCGTTTCAGTTCATCTACCCATTCATCTTTTTTCTCTCAACTTTGCTTTTTTCAGAGTTTGAATTCTTACACAAATGGAGCATACGGTCCACCGTACCCACCTGGCGCTGGGGCAAGTACTGCCTCATACTCTGGGGCGTATTACACCCCTGGATATACCCAGGCCAATTATTCCACAGAGGTTCCCGGCACTTACCGTTCACCCGGCAATAGCCCAACCCCGGTCTCTCGTTGGGTGTATCCCCAACAGGACTCTCAGACTGAAGTGCCCCCTCTGCGAGGGCAGGTTCCAGGGTATCCTGCTTCTCAGGTAAGCAGTTGTCGGTTGGGGAAAAGCTCTGCTCTGTCTGTGCCTCTTAGATTGCAAACTGTGGAAGGGTGACTGCTTATGCTAGATTGAAGATTTCAGAACACACTTGGGATGTTCAGAGATTTGCCAGCAGTGACTGGGACCAGGAAGACAGGTGCTACTTTTTTGTTGATGCCTTTTGTACTTGTAACTGTTGTGGTCCATGGACTTTGGCTGAAGGCACCTTAAAGATGCCATAATCACACACTTTTTAATACTGAACGCAATATTTAGAGAGTTACTACTTGAAAATTTCTGTGTCTTAGCTCTGTTAGGCCTATATAAAACATTATTCTAAATGTCACGTGTATTTATTTATTTATTTTAGATTTATTTATTTATTTGGGAGGCAGAGTTACAGTGAGAGGGGGAGAAAGGTCTTCCATCTGCTGGTTCACTTCCCAGTTGGCTGCGATAGCTGGAGCTGGGCTGATCCAAAGCCAGGAGCCAGGAGCTTCTTCTAGGTCTCCCATGTGGGTGCAGGGGCCCAGGCACTTGGGCCATCTGATGCTGCTCTCCCAGGCCATTAGCAGGGAGCTGGATCAGAAGTGGAGCAGCTGGGACTTGAACCGGCATCCATATGGGATGCTGGCACCATAGGCAGAGGCTTAAGCCACTATGCCACAGCACCTACCTCTTCTGTTTACTTCTGATACATCCTTATTGATACTTTCTTATAGTATATGTGGCCATTTGTTTACAGTGTCTGTGCTTCATCAATTGAATTTTAGGCTTTAATTTTTGTGACTTTGATTGTTAGCAAACCTGCCCCTAAAAGCTTTGGAACCAAATTTTTTTTTTAAACATTTTTTGTTTGTTTTAAATTTAAGAGAGCTCGCATGTGCTGGTTTACCTCCCGTGCCTGTAACAGCTAGAAGCTGGGAGCTGAGAATCCCAGTCCAGACCTTCCAGGGGGTGGCATGCACCCAATTACGTGAGCTATCACCTGCTGCCTCCCAGGTTGCGGATAGTAGGAAGCTGGAATCACAGAGTGGAGCTAGAACTCAAACCCAGGCATCTGACAGGGGATGTGAGCATCCTAATCGCCAGACCAGACATCCAAACACTTGCCCATGGAACCAAAGTGTTTTTTGTTTTTTTTTTTTTAAGATTTAATTTTTTATTGAAAGATTGACACAGAGAGATTTTCCACCTACTGGTTTACTCCCTAATTGCCTGCAGCAGTCAGGGCTAACCCAGGCCAACGCCACGAGCCAGGAACTCCATCCGGGTCATCCACGAGGGTGGCAGAAACTCAGGCATTTCAGTGTCATCAGCTGCTTCCCAAATGCATTAGCAGGAAGTTGGATTGGAAGTGCAGAGTAGCCAGGACTCCACCCAGGTGCTCTGAAGTATGGGATGTGGGTGTGGGCATCCCAGCTGCACCACAGTGGCTGCCCCCTGGAAACAAGATTTTGTAGGCTTGGAGAAATTATTGCAACTGATTAATTAGTTACTAGCATCTCAGAATCTGCCTGTACTAGAATATTTTCATTACTTCTTCAATTTTTTTTTTTTTAGCAATGACCAGCATATTTCTTCCTCTCAATCTAGAACCCTGGAATGACTCTGCCCCATTATCCATATGGGGATGGTAATCGTAGTGTTCCACAGTCTGTACCAAGTGTACGACCGCAAGAGGATGCCTGGGCCTCTTCTGGGGCTTATGGAATGGGTGCCCGTTACCCCTGGCCTTCGGCTGTGCCCACAGCACCACCTGGGAATCTCTATGTGACCGAAAATGCTTCACCATGGCCTAGCAGTGGCTCTCCTCAGCCACCTCCTTCGCCTCCGCCCCAGCAGCCCAAGGTAGGACATCTAAAGGCTGTTCCTGTGAAGTCTGGGTACTTAATAGAGTACAACATGGGACCTTTCTGCATCGGTCTGTTAAATGGGGAGTAACTGCAAAAATCTGGTGTCTACTACCTATAGCTTTTCCTCTCTCCTCTCCTCTCCTCACCTCACCTCTCCTTTCCTCTCCTCTCCTCTCCTCGTTCTCTTCCTTTCTTTCTACAAGAGTATATTTTTGAAAGAAGGTTTAGGTTCACATCCTTTAATTAAAAAAGAAAAATATTCATTTTGTTTGTTATAATACTGTTTGAATGTTAAATACAAAGATGATTATATTTTTACTTCCTTAAATAAGCTATAGAAAGAAGACAAAAAACAACATGAGATATCTATAGTATTAGCTTCTATAATTTTATATTAAATCATAGACTTGAACTTTGTCTGCTTATGCCTGCATTCCTTTTCAAGGTCTGTCTTAGGTTTTAACTTCTTAGGGGAAAAGTTTTGTGATTCTGGTTTCTCGAGTCCCTGGAGAGACTGTGAGGAGTTTGTGATGATGACCTGCCAGAGGGGGGTTCCAGCCATGAAACTTGGGACTTCTCTACCTTCTCCTTGACTGTCCACTCCCTTTTATCCTCTTAGAACTGTGTTCTTTTCAAATGATTAAGGAGGGAGGTCCAGTTTTATTGGCGGGGAATCTTGTCTTGTACCTTCCTGGACAGGTGAAAGATACGGGCTAACAAATCTAATGTTGATGGTTTCCAATTAAAACAGCTCTTTTCCCCTTTTTGCTCTCTCACTCCAAGGAGTCCTCCTACCCCTATAGCCAATCCGATCAAGGCATGAACCGGCACAGCTTTCCTTGCAGTGTTCGTCATCAGTACGAATCCTCGGGAACAGTGAACAATGATAATTCAGAACTTTTGGATTCTCAAGTCCAGTATAGTGCTGAGCCTCAGCTCTATGGCAGTGCCACCCATGAACATCTCAGCAATCAAGATCAAAGTCATAATCTTCCTGAAGAGTCTTTATCTTCAGATGAAAGTACTCCTCCAAGTATTAAAAAAATCATACATGTGCTGGAGAAAGTCCAGTATCTTGAGCAAGAAGTAGAAGAGTTCGTAGGAAAAAAGACAGACAAAGCGTACTGGCTTCTAGAGGAAATGCTAACCAAGGAACTTTTGGAACTGGATTCAGTTGAAACTGGGGGCCAGGACTCTATCCGGCAGGCCAGGAAAGAGGCTGTTTGTAAGATCCAGGCCATACTGGAAAAACTGGAAAAAAAAGGATTATGAAAAGAATTTAGAACAAACGGAAGCCTGTTGCTAACTTGACCAAAGAACTCTTGGTTTTGGTTATTCAGTCCCCTCTTTTTGAAATGCCTGTTGATGATAAGAAGCAATACGCTCCAACTTTTCCTTGGATTTAAAACTTGAAAAATTGGCAAAGGAGTGGAAGAATATTTAGTTATGTGTTGTTTTCCACTTTCCGAGGAATGAATGTAATGGGAAACTTAGCGGATGTCGGCAAGCTGCTGCTTACCACCAGGAGGGAGAATTCACTCTGTGCACCAGGCTTCCCACAAACCTGCTCCGGGAAACTGGGGATAATACTGAGACACACAGGCTGCTTTTTTAAACATCTGGATTACTTGTCACATTTTTGTACATTGTGACTGCTTTCAACATACACTTATGTGTAAATTACCGCTTAGACTGTAGCCTTCGTGGACCTTTGTTGTTTGCAGTTCACAAATATAGTATTATTCTCTACTTCTTGGTACATTTTGTAGTAATATGTTTAATATAATTATTCAAGAGACTATATAACAGCCAGAGAGTATGGCAGTTCTGAATGAATTTATCTCTTTTCACCACGTGAATATATTGCAATGTGTAGTAAGTTCCTGAGGTAAATTGTTTGTCTCCCTTTTTGTATAGATCGTTAGATTAGAGTTTTACTACTTCTATGTTACATAGAAGGGGAGTGCAAAGTAAATTTGGAAATGGCATTGATATAAAAATGAAAATGTGGAAATTTTTCTCTTTTGCTTTTTTATTGTATTTGGATAAAGATTCACTTTAAAATTACTTTGTTTTTTCTTTTTACAAAGTGTTAATTATCTTTTCACTGTTGCTGCTTCCATAGAAAATATTATGATAGATACAGATGGAAAATTAAATGCCACAATGAGTAGAAATACTGACTGCAAAGAGTAATAAATATAATTATTTAGCAGTAACTATTCTCCATCTGAAATATTAGTTTCAACATCAAGATCCCTATAAGTAAGCCGGCGCCGTGGCTCAATAGGCTAATCCTCCACCTTGCGGCGCCGGCACACCGGGTTCTAGTCCCGGTTGGGGCGCCGGATTCTGTCCCGGTTGCCCCTCTTCCAGGCCAGCTCTCTGCTATGGCCAGGGAGTGCAGTGGAGGATGGCCCAGGTGCTTGGGCCCTGCACCCCATGGGAGACCAGGAAAAGCACCTGGCTCCTGGCTCCTGCCATCGGATCAGCGCGGTGCGCCGGCTGCAGCGGCGGCCATTGGAGGGTGAACCAACGGCAAAGGAAGACCTTTCTCTCTCTGTCTCTCTCTCTCACTGTCCACTCTGCCTGTCAAAAATAAAAAAAAAAAAAAAAAAAAAAAATGATCCCTATAAGTAGATTTCAGCTCAGTTTATACTTAAAAATAATGAGAGTTAAGGGGGATTCATACTCAGGGAATGAGCCATAGGTAGAGTGGAAATTTATTTTTTTCTTTTAGAGATAGATGTGCTGTCTAGAGTAAATTGCATAGAATTGCCTGCTTCAAAAAAGGATGTTATTACCCCCTTTTTAACAGTCATTTCAGAGCCAAATTTAGGAAAGGAACATTGGCAGTGTCTTAGCTGGCTTTGCTTGTGTAGCAGTGTGCGGTTGTGTAGCAGAGGCTTAGGTAAGTACATTTTTACTTCTGAGGTGGATGCTATGCCCTTATGTGTTTGCAAAAAACAGCTGTTTCTTAAGATAGCCAACTGATAAATTTTTTTCCCCCAGACTGCCAGGCCTGTTAAATTATACTGTCATTCATCTCCTCTACTCATGAATCAAACCAAACTAATAACAACATTGAGAAGCAATGTAGTAAAAATATTGGCTGAGTCTTATGATTGAGATGAGTGATCTTGCAAGATAATATGTTGAAAATTTTATTCTAGGATTTTTATTTTGAAATGTTTTTAAGAAGTCTTTTTTATGGAAATGAGAAAATTATACATGAGACTATACATTTTGAATGGATAGGACCTTAAAGCTAAGTTAATACAATGATTAATTCAGAAGCCAACACTATTGTTTAACTTACTGAGTGCCCAAGATGCCAGTTTCCCTAAGTCTTGATTTTTTTTATATATGTACATGTTATGTACATATACACATATATGTGTGTATATTTTTAACAGTTGTTTTTAAAATCTTTGAGGTAATTTTAGACTGAAAGAAGAGTTGTAAAAATAATTGAGTTCCTGTATATCCGTCCCCCACCTTTCCCTTACGTTGACATCCTATATAACCATGAAGCATTTGTCAGAATTAAGAAATTAGCCTTGATACAATAGCATTAACTAAAGTAGAGAGTATAAAAGTAGCAATTTTATTAGTCTTTTCACTAACGTCTTCTTCCGTTCCAGGACCCATCCTTGGATTTACTTGTCTTGTCTCTGCAGCGCCCAGCATTCTGACAGTGTTATTACAGGGGAAACTCAATGTCCTAGTGTACTTCTGGTGTTGCTAGTCTGAATCACTGTGCTATGATGGTGTCTGCTGGGAGTCTCTACTGTAAACTTACATATTTTCCTTTGTACTTACTGAGTAGTTGCTGGAGATACTTTGAGACTATGCAAATGTCTGTTTCTGCTTACACTTCCGCCCATTCTTTTCCTGTCCATTGGCAGATCCTCTGCTTGTGGCAGTTACTACCGTGGTGTTCTAATGGTGATGTTTTCTATCTCTCTCGTTCCTCCCACATTCTTCTGTAAGGGAAGAATTGTTGCTTTTGGATTTATATTTTTAGTCATAAGATAATTCAGGTTAACTGAAAATTTAGAACTTAAATATATATATATATATAAACCATGTTAAAATGATTCCAAATGCCGTTATAAAGAAGAGAAAATTAAGTTGGTAACTTTATCAGAAAATATAATGAACTTAAGAAAAGTGGTATTTATGATTTGTAGAATTGGTTCAACTTTTGATGGAATATTGACCTTGGACTGAATTCAAATTTTCTTGAAGTTTCACATCTGGACTTTTTAACTGTGTCGAAATTTATATTACTTTGGGGATCATTTTTGTCAATATCTTGAATAAAGTTACCCAGAACTGGCATGATAAATACAACTGTGTTTTCTTTATAATAAACCATTATTGTTCCAAATATAAATGCCAATATAAATATTTAAACAAGTAGGCCCTAATCAAGTATTTAGAGCATGGGTTGTGCTTATCTGCCTGTTGGTGCAGAATTATTTTATACACTTAAAATTGTAGGGCTTTGGAAACATATCCCTAGTTGGTTAATGTAAATAATACTGTTAAAGGTAGGCAAAGTGAACAGATGTTTAGATCAGTTAAACCTTGTCCCACAATGGAGTTTCAGGGTTCAGTTCCTGGCTCCAGCTCCTGACTCGTTTCCTGCCAATGCAGACCATGGGAAATTTGGATCCTGCCGTTCATACAGGAGACCTGGATTGTGTCCCTGTCTCCTTGACTGTGGCCTGGCCCAGCTGTAGTCTGAGCTTTTGGGTAGTAAATCTGGCTGGGAGCTTTCTCTTTGTCTCTCTGCCTCTCCCTCCCTCCCTTATTTATTTTATTTATTTGAAAGACAGAGTTACAGGGAGAAGTAGAGGGGGGGGGGTGGTTTTCCATCCACTGGTTGAGTCCCCAGATGGTCACACAGACCAGAGCTGAGCCGATCTGAAGCCAGGGGCCAGGTGATTCTTCTGGCATTCCCATGGGGGTGCAGGGGCCCAGTGACTTGGGCCATCCTCCATTGCTTTCCCAGGCCATGGCAGAGAGATTTCCTATTATAGACAAGAATTCAGATTTATCCCTCTGTGCCTATCATTCACACATCACAGCCTTACCCTGTCAGCTTCTCAATATAGTTACGTGGGTGATTTCATTGTACATTATTATGACTGTGTAAATGTTAACCAGACCTCAGCCCTGTAGTAAAGGGATTACTTTCTCTTTCCTAATGACTCCTTATTTTCCCTGGAATTAATCAGTCTTATTTACTTTGTTTGCCTTTGTATTTGTGACTGATTTCACCTCAAAGCTTCCATCAGTTGTCTCAATCCTCCCTTCAGATGCTCAGACTTTATACACTTTATCACGTTTCACCTCTGACGACTGACTACACTGGAGCCCCCTGACGGGAGGGCTGGTATGACTGTCATCTTGGGGATGGAGTTCCTTTCCCCCTTCTGTTGGTTTCCTGTTTTCTGTGTCCTAGCCTTTCTCTTAGTTAGCTTTTCTCATTTTAATAGAACATATTCTCTATACAAGGGTACATAGAAAAGAACTTTTTGTTTTCTTTTTCCCCAAAGAAATCATTTATTTAATGACTACAAATTTCATAAGTACAACTTTAGGAAAATAGTGATTCTTCCCATCATACCCGCCCTCCCACCCTTACTCCCACCTCATCTCCTCCTCTCTCTCCCATTCCCAGTCTCATTTTTCATTAAGAAAAAAGAAAAAAAGAAAAAACTGTTCCTCGACAGTCAAGACAAGGGCTGTTCAAGTCATTGCTTCTCAAAGTGTCAATTTCACTTCTACAGATTTCCTTTTAGGTGCTCTGTTAGTTATCACAGATAAGGGAGAACATATGGCATTTGTCTCTTCAGGACTGGCTTATTGCACTAAGTATGTTTTCCAGATTTCCATTTTGTTGCAAATGACTGGGTTTCATTTTTTTAAACCACTGTTTAGTATTCCAGAGTATACATCCCATAATTTCTTTATCCACTCTTCAGTTGATGGACATTTAGGTTGATCCCATGTTTTACCCTGCCACTGAGTTGACCATCTTGGTTGGGTCTAGAATTCTAGGAAATGCTTGTTGGATTTATACACTTTATGCGTAAAGAGGTATGGGAATAGCTGGGCTTTTGAAGGTATTGTTCTACTGTCTCGTAGTTTCCAGAATTGCTTTTGAGACACATAGGCTTCTGATTCATGACCCTTTGCATAAAACCCGATTTTTGTTTCTGGGACCTACTAGGATTATTCATTTTTTCTTTCTCTGTTTTGTGGGTCATTTTCACCCATTGTGCTAGGCACATTTTATTCTGGAAACTCAGAAACTCTGAAATTGTCTCACTTGTTTGTTGGTTTCCCCTCCCCTCTCCAGTATTCTCTTTTACTTTCTAGAGTTACTGCTGTTTTGACTGTAGATGTCATAGATTGGTTCTTTTTTTTTTTTTTTAAGATTTATTTTATTTATTTGAAAGAGTTACAGAGAGAGGTGGAGAGAGAGAGAGAGAGAGGCCTTCCTTCTTCTGGTTTACTCCCCAAAGGGCTGCAGTGGCCAAAGTTGGGCCAATCCGAAGCCAGGAGCCAGGAGCTGCTTCTGGGTCTCCCACATGGGTGCAGGGCCATCTTCTGCTGCTTTCCCAGGCACATTAGCAGGGAGCTGGAATGGAAGTGGAGCAGCCAGGACTTGAACAGGTGTCTATATGGGATGCCGGTGCTGCAGGCCAGGGCTTTAACCTGCTGTACCACATGCCAGCCCTCATAGACTGTTTTTAATTTTCTTATGTTTCTCCCCTACCTCATATTTTGTCTTTCTTCTGTACTTTTCAGGACATTCATACAACTTTAACTTTCAACTCTTTGTTGGATTTTACAGTTTTTTTTATCGTATTTTTTCATATTTTTAATTTCTAAGGATATTTTTTGTCTCCTTTTTTGTATTCTCATTTTTAGTATAGCATCTTATATCTCTGAAGATATTGATGATAATTTCTTAACGATGTTAGATTTCCTTCAAAATTCCTTCTCCCTTTTTTAGCCTCCATGTTTACTCTGTTAGATGTTCTTAGATACCTGCTAGTTCTTGGTTGTGCTTTTTACAGTATGATGTTATTACACTGGAGGCCCAAAATCATTCCTAGAGAATGCTTTCCACGTGGGCATTGTGGTGCAGAGGATGAAGCTGCTACTTGGGATGCCTGCACCTCATATGGGAAGGCTGGTTTGAGTCCCATTCATCTTCCTGCTAATGTGCCGGGAAGGCAGCGGATGGTGACTCAAGGCCCAGCCACCCGCATGGGAGACCAGATGAATTTCCTGGCTCTTGATTTTGGCCTGGCCCAGCTCTGGCTGTTGTGGCCATTTAGGGAGTGAGCCAGAAGATGGAAGATCTTTCTGAAATTTCCTTCTGTAATTCTGCCTTTCAAATAAATAACTCTTTTTTAAAAATGTTCCCTCTCTATTCTTTTTCATTATTTTTCTCATACGCTTTCTTGGATGGGGATGGATATTTGAACTCTGAAGTCAAGGAGGGGAGACTCTGGGTACTTTTCATTCTATATGAAAACAGGTTGGTTTTAGAGTCCATGGTGGCTTTTGTCGTTAGAATAGTGGGCACATTTGTAGTGAGGCAAAGTATGTGCCAACTGCTAACAGTATTTAGTATCGGCACATTTTTCTCTCGGCCACCCTTAAATGTCCTTTTATTTTGCAATATATGCTGCATCTTACAGGCTAAAGCCAAGGGTAATATTGCTGAATAAAATTCTCAGTTCTTGAATTACAGGTAAGCAAATAATTTTTAATATTGATATGACTCATGGCAATGTTTAAAATAGTCTGTACTAGGGGCCGGCACTGTGGTGCAGCGGGTTAATGCCCTGACCTGAAGCGCCAGCATCCTATAAGGGCGCCGGTTCTAGTCCCGGCTGCTCCTCTTCCACTCCAGCTCTCTGCTGTGGCCTGGGAAAGCAGTAGAAGATGGCCCAAGTCCTTGGGTCCCTGCACCCATGTGGGAGACCTGGAAGAAGCTCCTGGCTCCTGGCTTCGGATCAGCGCAGCTCAGGCCGTTGCAGCCATCTGGGGAGTGAACCATCGGATGGAAGACCTCTCTCTCTCTCTGCCTCTCCTCTCTCCGTGTAACTCTGACTTTCAAATAAATAAATAAATCTTTAAAAAAAATAAAATAGTCTGTACTAAAAGATAATTTGCTGCTTATGTGAAATTCATGTTTAACTGTACTGTATTCTTTAATTGAAGTTTCATTAGAAACAGACACAGGGGCCAGTGTTGTGGTGCAGTGGGTTAAGACCCAAGTATTTTAAGTCCCAGCCACCTGCATGGGAGACCTGGGCCGAGTTCCTGGCTCTTGGCTTTGGCCTGGCCCAACCCTGACTGTTTCAGTCATTTGGGAAATGAACCAGTGAATGGAAGATCTCTCTCTCCACTGTCTGTGTCTCCCTCTCTCTAACTCTGCCTTTTAAATAAAACAAAAAGAGGGAAAGAGACACAGGATTCGTGTATCCTGTCCCAGTTTTCCCCAGTGCTCACATGCTGCAAACTTCACTGAAGTCATAACCTGGGTACTGACATTGATGCAGTCAAGACAGGAACAATTCCCAAATCACAGTTGTCTTTCCTGCATCTTTTTTTCTTTTTTTAAAGGTTTAAAGGGAGAGACAGGTCTTCCATCTGCTGGTTTACTCCCCAAATGGCCGCAACTGGGCCAGGCCAAAGCCAGGAGCTTCTTCCGGGTCTCCCACGTGGGTGCAGGGGCCCAAGGACTTGGGCCATCTGCTGCTTTCTCATGCCACAGCTGAGAGCTGGATTGGAAATGGAGCAGCTGAGACTAGAGCCGGGGCTCCTATAGGATGCGAGCATAGCAGGCGGCGGCTTAACCTGCAGTGTCCCTCTCCTGGATCCTTTACAGCTGCATGCTTCGTCTGTTTCCCCATAGTAAATTTTTTTTTCTTTTTTTTTTTTTTTTTTTTTGGACAGGCAGAGTTAGAGTTATAGACAGAGAGAGAGAGACAGAGAGAAAGGTCTTCCTTCCGTAGGTTTACTCCTCTAATGGCTGGCGCTGCACTGATCCAAAGCCAGGAGCCAGGTGCTTCCTCCGGTATCCCATGTGGGTACAGGGGCCCAAGTACCTGGACCATCCTCCACTGCCCTCCCGGGCCACAGCAGAGAACTGGACTGGAAGAGGAGCAACTGGGACTAGAACCCGGGTGCTGGCGCCGCAGGTGGAGGATTAGCCAAGTGAGCCACGGCGCTTGCCCCCATAGTAAACTTAGTAAACTTACCCTGGCAACTAGCAATCTGTCATTTCAGGGATGTTAAATTAGTAGTGCCTGTAGCCTCAAGAGACTGGCTTCTTTCCTCCTCAGTACATCCTCTTGAGATTTACCCAAGTTGTTTCTTCTATCAGTAATTAGTCCTGATTGCTAAATCGAAGTCACTTTTGGTGTGGATGTATCACATCCTGATCACTCTCCTTGAGGTGTGTCCAGTTGCTTTCAGTTTGGGACTGTGACGAATACAGCTGCTATGAAGATTCATGTGTAGGGTTTTGGTGTCTTCATTTCTTGTTAGGCACTGCCTAGGAGTACAGTAATGGGTCATAGGGTAGTTGCGTGTCTGTCTGCCCAGTCTGCCTGTGCTACTTTACCTTTCTCCTAGCTCCGTACGAGTTTTCTCTGTGTGCTTTCCAGTCATGAATGCCAGCACGATTTTGTATTTCAGCCACTCTGCTAGGAGTGTTAGTGACTCCTCATGGTGGTTCTAACAGTCCATGACGTCAGATTTATCTTTTCATGTCCATATTTGCCATCTGTATTTTCTGTTTGGTGAAGCATCTGTTTTCTAACTGGATTTATTTTAATAAACTTTCATTCTTGGAATAGATTGACACTTGTGATGTTACGGAGTTCCTATTTATCTCTCACCCAGTTTCCTCTATTATTGACACCTTAAATCAATGCCAAACATTTGTCATAATTAATGAGCCAAAACTGATTCATTCTTACTAAGTACATATTTTATTCAGATTTCCTTAGTTTTTAATAGTCCTTTATTTATTTATTTTCAGGACACCACATTACATTCAGTCATCGTGTCTTTGTACAGGATCAAATACCCAAGGGTTCTTGTCCAGTGTGTATGACAAAGAAAACATGAAAAACAGTGGTTTGAGCTATAAGCAGAAAGGAATTCACTGGATTGTGCCAAGCCTGGAGCAAGGTAGTCTAGTGGTCCAAAACCAAGTTTCCCTGAACAGCCAGGATTCAGAAGTTCTATAAAACTTGACGGGCTTGCTACTAGGGAAGCTACACATGTTCAGTAAGTTTTAGGGAAATTTTGGGAGGGATTATGGATATTCAAAAAGGGGTGGGTACATGTACCAACTAAGGTGTTTTTTTTTTTTTTTTAATTTATTTGTTTATTTGAAAGGCAGAGTTACAGAGAGGAGGAGAAGGAGAAAGATCTTCTACCTGCTGGTTAACTCCCCAAATGGCTGCAACCACCAGGGCTAGACCAGGTAGAAGCCAGGAGCCAGGAGCTTCATCCAGGTCTCCCAGGTAGGTGGCAGGGACCAAGTACCTGGGCCATATTCTGCTGTTTTCCCAGGTGCATTACTAGTGAGCTGGATCAGAGGTGGAGTAGCCGGGACATAAACTGGCATTCTAGGCAGCGGCTTAACTTGCTATACCACAGTGCCGGTCTTGTTTTTCTTCTTAATGTTATTTATTTACTTGAAAGGCAGAGTTTCAGAGAGAGGAAGCACATACATACACACACTGTGAGAATTATCTTCCATTCACTGGTTCACTCCCCGAAATGGCCACATTGGCAGAGGCTGTGCCAAGCTGTAGCCAGGAGTTTCATCTGCGTCTCCCATGTGGTGGCAGGGACCCAAGTACTTGGGCCATCTTCCACTGTTTTCCCAGGAGCTGGATCAGAAGTAGAGCCGCTGGGACACCAACCGACCCTCCAGTATAAGATGTCAGTGTTGCAGGCTGTGGCCTAACCCGCTGAGCCCCAGTGTTTGCACCATAAGCCCACTAAGTTATCCATGTTACATGTTCAGTGGAGGTGGAGATAATTTAAAAATTTATTGTAATTATTTGAGAGGCAGAGATACACAACTCCTAGCCACCAGTTCCTTCCCCAAATGCCCGCAACAGCCCCTGGCTGGGACTGAAGCCAGGTATCAGGAATTCCATCCAGGTCTCCCATATGGGTGGCAGGAACCCAGTTTCTTCAGCCATCCCTGCTGCCTCCCAGGGTCTGCATTAGCAGGAAGGTGGAATCAGGAGTCAGAGCAGGAACTGAACCCACTGTATTCTGATGTGGGATGCAGGTGTCTTAAGTGACATCTTGAATATTAGCCTTCATGGCATCCCTGAAATATTTTTGATCTGTGGTTGGTTGTGTCCTTGGGTGTGGAGTATACTGCCATTATTGTGTGGCCTTTTTATTTTATTTTTTAAAAAAGAAAACCTCCCTCTAAAACCCTTCCTTACTTTCTGGCACTGCAAGATGCTCCAAGCTCTTGCATATTTCTTATTCCAGTTCTCAAATCAGCTGTTTCTTTATGGAGCCCTGGTTCTTCTTGCTGAAGAACAATATTAGAAGCCAAGATCTGGGGCCATCATGTGGCATGGTGGGTGATGCCGCCCTCTGCAACGCTGGCATCCCACACAGGTGCTGGTTCATGTCCCGGCTACCCCGCTTGCAATCAAGCTCCCTGCTAACGGCCTGAGAAAAGCATCAGAGGATGGCCCAAGTGCTGAGGCCCCTGCTATCCATGTGGGAGACCTGGAAGGAAGCTCCTGTCTCCTGGATTCAACCTGGCCCGGCCCTGGCCATTGTGGCCATTTGGGGAGTGAATCAACAGATGGAAGATCTCTAACTCTTCCAAATAAATCTTAAAAATAAAACACTGCCAAGATCTGGCCTCTATTTTTTTTAATCTTCTCACCACTGGGTTTTAAGAGTTCTTCACAATTTCTAGATAATAGTCCTTTTTCAGATAGGTATTTTGCAAATATTTTATCCTAGTATGCAATTTGTCTTTATCCTCTTACCAGTCTCTCTCTTTTTTTTTTTTGACAGGCAGAGTGGACAGTGAGAGAGAGGGACAGAAAGAAAGGTCTTCCTTTGCCATTGGTTCACCCTCCAATGGCCGCTGCGGCCGGCGCACCACGCTGATCCGATGACAGGAGCCAGGTACTTATCCTGGTCTCCCATGGGGTGCAGGGCCCAAGGACTTGGGCCATCCTCCACTGCACTCCCTGGCCACAGCAGAGAGCTGGCCTGGAAGAGGGGCAACCGGGACAGAATCCGGCGCCCCGACCGACCGGGACTAAAACCTGGTGTGCCGGCGCCGCGAGGCGGAGGATTAGCATAGTGAGCCTCGGCGCTGGCCTTACCAGTCTTTCACAGAAAGCTCTTAATTTTGATGAAGTCCATTTTATCTTTTTTTTTTTTTTTAAAGGATGGGGCTTTTGCAGGCTCCTGGCTGTTTGCATGTATTTGGGGAATGAACTACTGATGGAAAAAAGGTGTTTCTCTTGCCCTCTTTCTTTCAAACTAATAAAACTAAAATAAAAATAAAAAAAAAATAAAATTAATGCCCCCCCCCAAAAGACCCTGAAAACATTTTTAGCTCCATGCACCATGCATAGTGTCTTCATAATAAGCTTTATCTTTGAACTTTTTTTTTTTTAAAGATTTATTTTATTTATTTGAAAGACAGAGTTACAGAGAGAGGTAGAGACAGAGAGAGGTCTTCCACCCGCTGGTTCACGCCTCAGATGGCCGCAATGGCCGGAGCTGTGCCAATCCGAAGTTAGGAGCCAGGAGCTTCTTCTGGGTCTCTCACATGGGTGCAGGGGCCCAAGGACTTGGGCCATCTTCTACTGCTTTCCCAGGCCATAGAGCTGGATGGGAAGTAGAGCAGCCAGGACTAGAACCGGCGCCCATATGGGATGTGTTAAACCACTGCGCCACAGCGCCGGCCCCATATCTTTGAACTTTTTAAAAACCCACTGTATTGGTTAAATGCTTCAGTGTTGCAACAGAGACCTTATAACCCACAGAACCTAAAATATTTATCTGGCCTTTTACAAAGGAAAGTTTGCTGCTTTTTGTACTAGAAAATTGAATGAGAAAAAGGTTATTTCACATTTTATCACTTTGTTTAAAGATTTATTTATTTAATTGAAAAGAGAGATCTTCCATCTGCTGGTTCAGTCCCCAAATGGCCACAACTGCCAGCGTTGGGCCAGGCTGAAGCCAAGAGCCAGGAGCTCCACCCAGGTCTCCCACGTGGGCAGCAGGAGCCTCAGCACTTGGGCCATCTGCTGCTGCTTTCCCAGGCGCATTAGCAGGAGCTAGATCAGAAGTGGAGAGGCCCAGTGGTGCCCATATGGGAAACCAGCTTCCCAGCTACAGCTTAATCTGCTCTGCCACAATGCCAATCTCTGGCAGAAGTTTTTTTGAAAACAAAGTGAGCTGGTCACTTCAAGGAAAACATCTGAAAAAAATATTTTTTGCTACTGATAAAATTTGATCCTTAGGAAGAAATTTTTTTTTTTTTTTAATTTGAAGGCAGAGAGAAACATAGAGACAGACTTTCTATATGCTGGCTTACTCCCCAAATGCCTGCAACAGCAGGCCTGGGTCAGGCTGAAGCCCAGAGCCTGGAACTCAGTCCAAGTTGCCCTCCCGCGTGGCAGGGACTCGAGTACATATGCCAGCACGTGCTGTTTCCCAGGGTGCATGTTAGCAGAAAGCTGGAGCCAGAAGCAGAGCCAGGACTTAAACTGACACAGGATACAGGTGTCCTGAGTGTGTTTTCATCGCTGTGCCAAATGCTTGCCCCAGAAGTAGAATTTGAGAAAAACGTGTATCTGCTACTGTGACACTTTACAGCTTACCAATACTTCAGATGTGTTTTTTTTGTTTTTTTTTTTTTTTTTTTTTTTTTTTGACAAGCAGAGTGGACAGTGAGAGGGAGAGACAGAGAGAAAGGTCTTCCTTTGCTGTTGGTTCACCCTCCAATGGCCGCCGCTGCAGCCGGCGCACCGCGCTGATCCGATGGCAGGAGCCAGAAGCCAGGTGCTTTTCCTGGTCTCCCATGGGGTGCAGGGCCCAAGCACCTGGGCCATCCTCCACTGCACTCCCTGGACACAGCAGAGAGCTGGCCTGGAAGAGGGGCAACCGGGACAGAATCCGGCGCCCCAACCGGGACTAGAACCTGGTGTGCCGGCGCCGCTAGGCGGAGGATTAGCCTAGTGAGCCGCGGCGCCGGCCTCAGATGTTTTTGATGAGATAAATTTTTTGAAAAATTGCATGTTGAAATATGCTAACATTTGGAAGATCTGCATAGCTCAGTGAACTGGTCTTTTTCCAAATGAACACACATGGTGTCATACATTTTACATGGGTGGAAGATCCATTCCAAGTGCAAGACAGATGAGTGGACCCTAATTGTATCAGAATATGAAAACTTCATTGATACCCTTTCAACTGCCGTTTGTGGAATTTTGAGTGTAATGCAAAAGAAGAATTTTGAGTGTAATGCAAAAGAAGTACACAATTATCTAAAAATACTATTAAGATACTCACTGCTTCTGCAGCCACATGCGTGAGTGAGGCTGGATTGTCTTCATACATTTCAGCCATAATAAAGATGCAACAGGTTGAACGCAGCTGCAGCTTGAATGTAATTCAGCCCCTAAACACATACAGTGGTTCAAACCCCAAAGTCTTAATGCTTCTAAGAGGGTGAAAATTTAATCCAATTATGGTGTTTAGGAAGATTAGATAGGATCAAGTTGTTGGGGAGGGGCCCCCGTGGCTGAATCCGGTGGCTTCAGACAGTTGTACACGATGCCTGTGTCCTGCTGCGTGATGCCTTGTGCCATCGCAGGCCTCTGTCAGCAAAAAGACCACCGCCCGAGGGAGAACCAGCCGAGGGAGAACCAGTGGGCTCCATCCAGTCTTGGACTGCGAGCCCAAGCATCTTTCCCCTCATAAGTTCGCCTGCATGAAGTATTTTATTGTAGTAAAGAAAAACTGGCAAACCCAGAAGCAAATATGAGAATCCAGTAGTTTTCTATTAATCCACACATGAAGGCAGTTTACAAAAAGGGAAGTTCAGGCTTCTGATTTTTAAAAATTATTTGGAGGCCGGTGCTGTGGCATAGTAGGCTAAGCCTCCACCTGCAGTGCCGGTATCCCATATGGGCCCTGGTTCTGTCCTGGCTCTCCACTTCCGATCTAGCTCTCTGCTAACGGCCTGGGAAAGCAATGGAAGATGACCCACATGGGAGATCTGGAAGAAGCTCCTGCCTCCTGGCTTCGGATTGGCCCAGCTTCTTTGTCTCTCCCTCTATCTAACTCTGCTTCTCAAATAAATAAAAATTAAAAATAAATTTTTTTTGGTCAAGTTATTTTCCATAAGTTATTCATTTTAAACCGGCTACTGTTTAATTTCTGTTACAGTCAATAGTGATCAATATTAACCGACATAAATGGAATGCTTCAGGGTATTCGATAATTAGGCGGGAAACCACTTGAGAACAGCGGGTAGGGGGGCTGCAGCTGGCCGCGGAGGTAGAGCCGCTAACACGTTACCTCTCCCTGCCTCGCGGTGCCGGCGTTAGCTCGGCTGCAGGCTGCGTCCCTGACCGGCGCCACGGCTTCCTGCTGGCCCGGCCGGCTGAGTCCTTCTGTGCCTCCTCGTGGGACCACCCTCAGGACGGGACCTAGCGCATGCTAAGGCCTCAGTAAATGCGAGCAGCTCGGCTCCTCTACTTCTGGAGGACGGGACGCAGGCCTGGCTCGCGCCTGCCCAAAAGGTATAGCGGGAGCAGGGCTAAGGACATCGGTGGACCTGCGTGTGAGGCGAACGCGTTGCAGACACTTGCTTTCTCTGCTTCTGTGGAGCTAAACCGAGGAAACGCGTCCTGAACCTTCTGCCCTGCAGTCCACCTCGACACGGGAAAGGTCTTTAGGACCCAGAGGGCCCGTGGACTGGGAAACTCCTTTAAAGATTTCCTGTCTTCGCCTCCCGACTTGTCTTGCAGCCTTTAGTCCTGTCAGGTTCTCCGCCCCACGTTCTCGCGGCACACGCACACGCGGGGGCGCGGGGCAGAGCCTCACAGATCGTCCTCGTCACTCGCCGGCGCCGGCGCCGGCGCCCGCGCCCCACCGCCCTCCAACCCCGCTCCCGCCCGGGGCTCCGCCGCGGCTCCGGGGGCTGCCTGGGTCACGGAGGCCGGGCCCCCGGCTTAAGGGCTCCGGGCAGCATCGCCCACTTCTCCCTCTTCAAAGTCGCCGCGAGGGCACGCGCCGCGCCCCGCCCCGCCCCGCTCGCGCGCCCCTGGCTTCCTGCCCGCAGGAGGAGCCACGTCTCGCGCGACAACCTCCGCTTCTCGCGACACTTCCCGCCGGGCCCCTGCAGCCGCGCAGCCCCGCCCTTCGTTTCCGCGCCCGGCGCCCGGGAGCCGCCTCACCTGTCTTCGCGCCGGCCTGGCCCGCTGCTCCCGGCGGGGAGGGTGGCGGGGCCCCCGCGGAGCGCGCGAGCCCGGCGGCACCGCAGGCCCCGCCCCGCCCCGTCCGAGCCCGTGGGACTGGCGGCGGGGCCATGTCGTGCCCGCCTCAGCGAGGGTCGGAGAGCGTGAGAGGCGGCGGGGCTGCCAGGTGAGTGCGCCGCAGCGCGCCGGGAGCCGCCGGGACCGTGGGCGGGTGGGGGGCGTTGCGGAGCTGGGGAGGCGGGCGCGTGGTGGTGGGAGGGCTGGGGGGTACCGGCGCGGCGCGGCGCGGGTGACCCGAATTCCCGGGAAGCGCCGGAGCGCCTTTGCGTCGGCTGCAGCCGAAGGCACCGGGCAGTGCTGTGGTCGGCGGCGGCCCCAGCCGCTGTGGTGCCGGGTGCCGGCGGGGCGAGGCCGACCCCGAACCGGGACGGGGAGGCGTGGGCGTGGGCGTGGGGAGGCGGCGCCCGCCCGGGTGGTCGCGAGGAGGATGGGGCCGGGAGCCTGGAGCGCGCGCTCCGAGTGACCTTGGGCCCTCTGGGGCTGGGGTCTGCCGGGCCGGGCTGCTGCAGGGGGCGCGTCCTAGGCTGGGGGCGCCGCAGACGGCGGGAGGCTTTTGAGGTCACCGGGTTCCTTTGCGCCCTGGGCGTGCGCGCCTGCGCACAGTGGCCTCGGGGTTTGTGCCACATCCTAATTAAGCACGGGTCGGGGATCAGAGTGAGAGGCTCTGTGCTTCGGGTGGTAGAATGCGGTAGTGCGGTCAATGCGCAGCGCTGGCCGACCCGGAGCCCGCAGCCCCGGGGGTTGGTGGACGTGGCACCAGTGTCAGGCCCTTGGCCCTAGGGTTACATATGTCAGTCGAATTTGAACTCGACAGTGGGTTTCTCGTGACTCCCGAGTGTGCTTTATGATTTACTCTTAGGAGCTTAGCGCAGAAATGGTAGATGCAACGGAAGCATTCTGTTTAAACCCTCCCCATCCAACTGGGAATTTATGTTCCTTGTAGTTTAAATCAGGCAGCCCCTTAGGTTTACTTATGTATTGGCAGAAATGCTCAGTTTTGTGTGTGTATGTGTGAACAGTTGCACCGTGAAACACAAGATTCGTTTTTCCAGTAGCTGTTTTTTTTAAATCTTGTCTTTTAGAGAGCGAGATGTCAGCGGTGGAACCACACCAGGAGCAGTGGTCCCAGTCAGATCCATCTCCATCCCCGAACTCGTGTAGTTCCTTTGAGCTCATCGACATGGATGCTGCAGGCGGCTTGTACGAGCCGGTTTCTCCACATTGGTTCTACTGTAAGATCGTCGATTCTAAAGAGACGTGGATTCCCTTTACCTCCGAGGATTCACAGCAGCTGGAGGAGGCGTACGGCTCTGGTAAGGCGAGTGGGATGGCTGGAGTGTACCGGCTCTGTAGTGAGTGCAATCACAAACTCATTGTGGACTTTCCAGTAATTTCTTTCAGCATTTTAAATGGAAGTTTGCATTATGCACCCAGTGAAAACAGTACATATTGTAATTTCTGTATAATCTATCCACTGTTTTTTATGTTCTAACTTACGTGTCAGTTTTTGCTTATAAAGAGAGAGACTGTGTGGTGGATGGCCCATTGCAGAATAATGAACTCTGTTCATTTCTTTTATGAAACATCTAACTTTGAACCATCAAGCAAAAAGTTGAGAAAAATCATCTTATATACAGTTCTTTTTTCTTTTAAAGGGGAACTGCTATCTTTCCTCAGAAAAAGAATAAAACTAGGTATTTTTTTTTTCATGTTTCATTAAAATCAACAGGTTTTGATGGTTTGTAGTTAGGGAAAAAAAGTAGGAGTTAAATTCCATTTTGTTTGCTGTTTAGCCGAGTAAATATGTTTCACAGAGTTGTTTTGAGGTAGGACCCAGACTTGTGCTTTGGAGATTTATTTTGAAATACGTACTTCTCCCCTTTCTGCTGCTTGGTAGGAAAGGATTGTAATGGGAGAGTCGTCCCCACGGACGGGGGCAGATACGACGTTCATCTGGGGGAGAGGATGCGGTATGCTGTTTACTGGGATGAACTGGCATCGGAAGTGAGGAGGTGTACCTGGTTTTACAAGGGAGACAAAGATAACAAATATGTTCCCTACTCGGAGAGCTTCAGCCAAGTTTTAGAGGTATTCCTTTAACCCTCCTTTTTTTTTTCCCATCATTTCTTTATTTTTTTTCCTTCTGTTACTCAAGTTCTTGTGACTGACTTTATGAAATTTCCCAGAAGAGTTTGGTTCTGTCTGTATCACATCTTATAGTGTTTCTTTTTTCAAATTATCAGATTTAAAAAAAAATTTATTTATTTGAAAGGCAGAGTTACAGAGAGGCAGAGAGAGAGAGAGAGAGAGAGAGGTCTTCCATCTGCTGATCCACTCCCCAGATGGCTGCAACGTCCAGAGCTGGGCCAATCTGAAGCCAGGAGCCAGGAGCTTCTTCCTGGTCTCCCATGTGGGTACAGGAGCCCAAGGATTTGAGTCATTTTGCACTGCTTTCCCAGGCCATAGCAGAGAGCTGGATCAGAAGTGGAGCAGCCTGGACTCAAACTGGAGCCCATATGGGATGCTGGCACTGCAGGCGGCGGCTTTACCCACTGTGCCACAGCACTGGCCTCTGTTTTCAGATTTTAAAACACAGTGGCCTGTGCTGTGGTACAGTGGGTTGATCTGGTACCAGTTCTTGCTCCTCTTCTGATTCAGCTCTCTGCAGTGGCTTGGGAGGGCAGTGGAAGATGGCCCAAGTGCTTGGGTCGTTGCACTCATGTGGGAGACCCGGAGAAAGTTCCTGGCTCCTGGTTTCGGATTGGCTCAGCTCCAGCCATTGTGGCCATTTGGGGAGTGGACCAGCAGATGGAAGACCTTTATGTCTCTCCCTCTCACTGTCGGTTAACTCTGCTTCTCAAATAAATAAATAAAATCTTTAAAAAAAAAAAGAAATAGAATGCAGACTATATTATGCCTTTTAAAAAAAGATGTACTTATTTGAAAGATAAAGTGACAAAGAAGGAGGGATCTTCTGTCAGCTGATTTGCCTGCAAATGGCCAAATAGCCAAGTCTGGTTCGGGCCAAAAGCAGGAGCCAGGAACTCCATCCTGGGTAGCAGGGGCTGATGGGTAGCTCTTGGACTGTCTTCTGCTGCCTTCCCAAGTGCATTAGCAGGAAGCTGGAGCAGTTGGACCCAAATCAGCACTCAGATAGGGGATACCTGCATGCTACAATGCCAGCCCCTTTTAATGTAAATAATATGTTTTTCCTAAAGGAAATTAAAAATGGCAATTATTGTTAATATCTAGACTGTGGACCTCAGGATTGATTTTTTTTTTTACTTTTATTTTTCTTACTCTGAAAATCAAACTTTGTTTTACTTAAATTAGACTAGAATATTAAAATTGACAGAAATATCTAAAAGTGTGAATAGTTATTCATTTAAATGATGGAATTACAAGTGATTTTTTTCCATTGGCCTGTGCTGTTATCTTGTAATTTTAAAGGAATTTTAAAATTTGATAAATTGGATGGAGAGTGATGTTCTTTTTGAAACTTAAGAATTTAATAGTATTCTTGTGAATACATACATTTTAAAATAGAAAAGCTATTAGGTAAATCTGATGAACTGCGTTTCTTTTAAGGAAACTTACATGCTTGCTGTAACTCTAGATGAGTGGAAAAAGAAACTGGAGTCTCCCAACAGAGAAATTATTATATTACACAATCCAAAGGTAAAGTGAAGTAAAGCATTTCTCTGATGTTGGGCTCAAAGGGTAAGTGCGCTGATGGAACTTAATTGGCTGCTTTCCCCATGGGCTCCCCGTAGGATAACCTTTGGCAAGTTTGATACTGAATTCACAATTACGAAACGTAAAGCTTGTAGCTGCTACCATTACTTACTCCACCTGCATGTACGATAGAATTTTCACTGGGAAAATTATGCCACTGCAGATGAAGAAAATCACCAGCATGTTATGTGCACGTGTCTTCTCTGTGTAGGGCGTTGTTGAAAGACCTGTTAATCTAATGTATGTTCAGAGTTTTCATTTGAAACGGTAGGAATTGCGTATTGAAACTGCCCTTATGGTTTGACTGTGTTCTGGAAGACATATTCCTACTCTTCAGAAATGTCTCTGTAGAGAGATGACTGATGCAGAATGCCTTCATTGCTCTGATCTTTTCTGTTGTAGCTCATGGTACATTACCAGCCAGTTGCAGGGTCAGATGAATGGGGGTCGACACCCACTGAGCAGGGGCGACCAAGAACAGTGAAAAGAGGGGTTGAGAACATCTCTGTTGACATTCATTGTGGTAATGTTAATCATTTATTTTTTCTTTTCCTCTGATATGCTTGTTTATTCCTTAAATAGTAATGTTTTCTATGGATTTTGTTTACCCAAAGTTTTAAAAATGATCTTTAATTTTATGGGTTTATTTCAAGTTAAGGTTAGAATTACTTCATGTGGGGGCCGGCAATGTGGTGTAGCAGATGAGGCCGCCACCTGCGGTGCTGGCATCCCAAATGGGTGCCAGTTTGTGTCCCAGCTGCTCCACTTCCCATCCAGTTCTCTGCTGTGGCCTGGGAAAGCGGTGTAGGGTGGCCTGGGTCCTTGGGCCCTGCATCCACATGGGAGATCCAGTGGAAGCTCCTGGCTCCTGGCTTCAGATTGGTGCAGCTCCGGCCGTTGCGGCTGGTTGGGGAGAGAACCAACGGATGGAGGACCTCTCTCTTTCTCTCTCTCCCCTTCCCTCCCTCCCTCCCTCCTTCCCTCTCCCCTTCTCTGCCCTTCTCTCCCCTTCTCTCTCTGTGTGGCTCTTTCAAATAAATAGATAAATCTTAAAAAAAAAAAAAAAAAAGGATTACTTCATGTGCTAAGAGTAAAAATCCCTTTCAGAGCTGCTAAGTACGTGTAGTGGGATGGGTACGACTTGGCAGTGCTAATCAGAAGGAACGAAATACAAATGAATTGATTCAGCCCAAATTCTAAGTGTGATTTCACCTTGACCAGATATTTATTCCTGATAATTTTCCGTCCTTGAAGATGGTCAGCTGAGGAGAGCCATTTCTCAGAACTCAATGGTTATATTTCCTGCTTCCTAGCTCGAGTCACTCATGTTGGTTTTATGATGTATTTCACTGTATTATCAAGTTCCTTTTGCAGAGATGATGACTCTTGGACAGAGTCTTTGATTTACTGTAATTTAGAAAGGTGGTTACATTTAAAAAGTTTAAAAATATTTATTTTTTATTTATTTGAAAGGGAAAGAGATATCTTGAATCTACTGGTTCACTCCCTAAATGCCTGCTGCAACTGGGGCTAGGCCAGGCAAAGCCAGGGGCCAAGAACTCGATCCAGTCTTCCATGGCCCCACGGCTTTCTGGGAAATAGTTGTTTTGGCCATCACCTGCTGCCCCCATTGTATGAGTTGGCGGAAAGCTGGAATCAGAAGTTCAACTCAGGTGCTCCAGTCTGGGATGTGAACATCCCAAAGACTGTCTTAACTGCTATGCCAAGTCTACCCTGGAATGTCAGGCATTAAAAACGTGTCAGACACTGGGGCCGGTGCTGTGGCATAGTGGGCTAAGCCTCTGTTTGTGGAGCTGGCATCCATAAGAGTGCTGGTTCATGTTCCAGCTGGTCCTGTTCTGATCCAGCTCTCTGCTATGGCCTGGGAAAG